GTGTGTGCGCCTGTGTGTGTGTGTGTGTGTGTGTGTGTGTGTGCGTGTGTGTGTGTGTGTGTGTGTGTGTGTGTGTGTCTGTGTGCCCCACACCCACCCCCGGGCCCCGCCAAAAAGAAAGCAGATCCTTTTTCTCCCTCCGCACCAAACAACACGTGAAGGGGCCCTGATATGTGTGTGAGGAAACCATCCTTCTGAAGACATTCACAACCCCACATACATAGGGCAACGGGAGTGGACAGCACACAGATCTGTGAGTGATTTCCAGATCGCCATAAACGACCACCACTCCTGAGCCTTACCTTCCCAAACTTGGGCTGTTTTGTTTTTGTCTTTTTTTAGCTGCGTTTACTTTCAAAAGCAGCAACGGGTCTGTTCCCCATCCCTAGAAAAGTGCCAATCGTACAAATCACCTAACCTGAAACAGAGCAGAGAGAGAGCGAAGGAAATGAATATTATGCATTGCATGCATCTAGTCCCAATCATGGTCACATTTGGCTGAAATAGCCGCAGTGTGAACATCCCCTCGACGCAAACAGTCACAGAAGGGAGAGCAAGCGTCGTTGCACCCTCAGAGACAAGAGAGACAATTTGGGCGACGACCATTCTTCCCAAACATATCAACTTCCTTTTTTTTAAAGCGGGATAGCCCCTAACTTTATTGCATCTGTCCGGATTCGAACTGTTGACATGTTTGATCAAGAACGTGTATACCACACAGCCACAGGCAGGCACGTAAACATATCAACTGCAAATCCTCTTGGGCACAACAATGTTAGGGACCAATCACAGCCTCTAAATTTGGGGGAAATACAAAAACAATTCTCCTACTGAAGGCATCTCCAGCCCGGCCACGACTTCCCACCAGGTTCTGAACTTTTACAGACTGCCTCCGAGGAAACAAGCAGCACATCAGAACTCTAAGCTCTAATCGAACGACATCTACATACTACTAAAGGACGCCGGCGCAAGACCCGGTCTCCAGGTTAGGGACCTTGGGTGGCAGTCCCAGGGACAAACTTGCAGCGACCGTCGGGCCCACGAATCGGCACGGGGCACTAGGAAAAAGCCGAGTGCCGTGCCCAGTGGGTAAACAGTGGAGCACCCAAAGAAACTCAAGGGGCGAAAAGCGGACGGGGCCCGGTGGGCCCGAGGGGTAAAAACCAGTTTTTCGGCCGCGGGTTCGTGGACTGAATCTACAAGTGTGGCAGTGTATATTTCCATGTTGTAGCGGAAGATTCATTCAGATTTGCTCATCCTACCTATGGAAGTAGCCTCTCTCTATCTCTCTGCGTGCATGGCTGGAAACCTCTCTCTCTCTCTCTCTCTCTCACACACACACACACACACACACACACACACACACACAAGTGCGGAAGTGTATATTTCCATGTTCTAGCCATAGATTCATTCAATTTTGCTCATCCTATCGATGGAAGTACCATGAGGCCGGCCACCACGTTAGAGACTTACCTCTCTCTCTCTCTCTCTCTCTCTCTCTCTCTCTCTCTCTCTCWCWCWCACACACACACACACACACACACACACACACACACACACACACACACACACACACAGAGGCGGGGTTGACATTTGCATCTGACAGCTCCTTAGTCCATACTCACACCGGGATTTCTTTTCAGTGTTTCTGTCCATCGCGGTGTATCTTCCTATGTGGTTGCGGAAGATTCCTTTTGCACATTGGCAGGCTGCTCAGTTGATGCACACATGAAACTGTTGAATTCATGCGTGAGTTCGATTTACAACGGATCCGACGGCCTTCTGATGCCTTGGCCGATGCCCCCCGGAATGCTGCGCGTCCCTCATGTTCTAAGACAAACACCCTTAATGTCGCCCAGGTCAGATAATGGCCATGCCTGGGGTGGGGTTGGCGCTGGCCGCAGTGAGCAAGGGCGCGGATGGACGTGGACAGTTGAGCAGGGGCGCGGATGGACGTGGACAGTTGAGCAGGGGCGCGGATGGACGTGGACAGCTGAGCGGGTCTCTCTCTCTCTCTCTCTCTCTCTCTCTCTCTCTCTCTCTCTCTCTCTCTCTCTCCTATTGTTCTCTGAATGTGCGTCGCCAGATACACAGCAAGCCAGGGGCTGTGTGGTTCGAACATCAGTACGAGCATGCAGAGGGAGGAAGTAAGGAGGATCAGGAGAGGCGAGAGGAGGTCAGGAATGGGAAGGAGAAGCGGAACTCATGTTGACTAGGAAGGAAAACAATCGTGCTGGCCGGCTACTAGGTTAGTTGCGACGACAACGGCGGCGCTACTCGCGAGAAAGATAAGCAGCGCGACACCCGAAGCCCTCCAATGAAACCCGTTGATGAAACCCTCCAATGAAACCCCGCCCGAAATAAATTGCCAGAAATGCAAACAGGAAATTGTTTTTCCACTTTTTGGCGCTTTCGAAATCCGTCGAACGCTTTCGACTCTTCTTCTTTGTCTTTTGCCTCCGTCGCCTCCCGTTCCTCCAGCCTCCTTCATGCCTCCCACTCTTGCAGCCGCGGCGTCGTCGCGGCGGGTCCACTTGTTATTAATAAAAACCAGTTCCTCATCAATCAACCAAACAACCAATTAACTGCTATAATGAAGGAGTTCAATTGGGGCTACCGCCTCAAGCAGCAAGGATAAGTGATGACAAGAGATGAGGCATGGCCTCTGCACAAGGACAACACGCACAAATTGAGATATGGTCCACTTTTGTTTTTCACGGAAAAAAAAAAGAAAAACTTACCAGAGGAGAGGTCGGTCGGGCAGCACTTACGGACCTCTTCTTAGCCATAGTATTGTGGGCTGTCTTGATTTTCCCCTGCAGTTCAGTTCCCTTCAATGGCTTCTCCATCTCTTGATTTTGGGCTATTTCTTCCTCCTCCTCCCCTTCCCTCTTCTTCCGCACTATTTTCTCTGCTGCTTTTTCCCCTGCTCTACCGAATGGCTTCTCCGCCCCTTCCCTCTTGTTCTGCCCTACTTTCACTGCTGCTTTCTCCTCCGCTCTACTAAATGGCTCCTCCCTCCTCTCTTGACTCTGCACTACTTCTTCCTCCTCCTCCACTTCCCTCGTCTTCAACCCTATATTCTCTGCTGCTTTTTCCTCCACTCTACTATTTTCCTTCCCGCTGTTCTGCAGTTTCCCCGGCGGAATACTGCACTTAGTCTTCTTCAAGTCCACGTCTGTACACACACTTTGTTTCCCACCAACTCGGCATGCATTCTGTTCTGATGCCACCTCTTGAGAGCGGGGTAGTTTGTTGCTTCCCGATTTCTCCAACTTCCTTGCCTTCATCTCAAAGGCCATCGCCTCCGTCGCCGAGAGTACTGTTGTGTCCTTTTCCTCAGAGCAAAAAGCCAGGCTCGAGTCCTTGTCCCTGTCACCTCCTCCACTCTTTTCGTTTCTCTCCACACCCCCTCTTCCCCCCTTCTCATGTGCCTCGCAGTCACTGTCATCAAGCACAATGACCATGTTTGATTGCTCATGCCTGCTGAAGCTGGCACCATCCTTCTTCCCCTTTCCTTCCAGACTCCTCCTCTTCTCAGCTGGCTCCACAGAGTGGGGAATTCCCACTCGTAGAACCGGTTTCCTCTTCCGCCCTTCAGGAGCCATCTCATTCTTCGGCAAATCCCCACTAGATCTTTCCTCCATACAGCAACCACTTCTTATCCTGCCGGTGCCTTCCACAGGCTCTCTCATCACTCCAGATCCATAACCGCGGTCATCATCCCCTTCATCATCAGCCTCTATAACGATTGTGTCTGCAAAGACTCTCTTTCTCTCCCCATTCTCCTCGCTGCCCTTGGGAGGGTATACACACTCTTTCACAGCAACCTCCTCCCTTCCCTCGCTACAGCTAAGCGGCCTGGCTGCAGCACCCTCCTCCCTTTCGTCGCTGCAGCTAAGCGGCCTGGCCGCAGCACTCTCCTCCCTTCCCTCGCTACAGCTAAGCAGCCTGGCAGGAAGGCCCACGCGGAGGGTTCTATGTCGCTGCTTCTTCCGTCCACCTTCACACATCACCAACCCATCTCCCTCCTCTACCACCGTCTCTGAATCGTCCCTCCGTTCCTGAGTAGGCCCCACTCGCAAAACCGGCTTCTCTTTTCGTCCTCCCCTTTGCAGCACATCCTCAGCAGGTTTCTCCTTTCTTCCTCCTCCTCCTCCTCCACCAATCCATTCCATCTCGTAAGGGGACACTCGCAAACCTGACTTCTCTTTTCGTCCCCCCCCTTGCAGCACATCCTCAGCAGGTTGCTCCTTTCCTCCTCCTCCTCCTCCTCCTCCACCAATCCATTCCATATTGTAAGGGGACACTCGCAAACCTGACTTCTCTTTTCGTCCTCCCCCTTGCAGCACATCCTCAGCAGGCTTCTCTTTTCTTCTTCCTCGTACCACTTCCACATCTGTCCCCCGTGACTGGAGCCTGTCATCATCAGACCTCCCGAGTGACAGAGACAGACTTGTCCAAGAGAGAGGATCATCAGTCAATTCCCTCGCAAAACCTTTCCTCCCAATGGTCGTATCCAGTCCAGGTCCGACGAAAGATGTTGATGGTGGATGAGTGCTAAGAAACTGGGAGGGGAAGCCGCCTGACCACCCCGCTGAGACGATACCATCCTCTCCTGATCTGCACCCGCCCTCTCCCAACCTGCCTCCTCTCAGCAGTGCACCACTGTCCTCAGAGGCCTCAGGCGGCTGCACCACAGAGGCCTCGGTTGGCACTGATCTTCTCCGCAATGTCGTCAAATCAAATGCAACATCATCATTGTAATTATCAATGTTGATAGCAGGGCACTCTTCTTTCCCGTCTCGAGGTTCGGAGAGGAAGTCGTGCACAGGGAAATCCTCCTCATCCTCCGGCAATCCCAGAAAATTAATTATCCTTGCATCCATTCTCTCGCTCTACCACCCCCCTCTGTTCACTCTTCTTTCCTGTTTATAAGAAGAGAGCAACAACGAAAGATGATGACATCAGCAGTTATACGGGATGGAAGAGGAGTAAAATCGTTTTCATCAGACTACGCCACGAAAGGACGGATCCGAGTGTGACCACAGATAGATTCACTGTAAACTAGATGACCTCTTGGGGCTTCACTCGTTGAAACAAATACGACAGGTGATTCATTCATGGTGGAGGAACCTGATCAATGCAATCTCTCTCTCTCTCTCTCTCTCTCTCTCTCTCTCTCTCTCTCTCTCTCTCTCTCTCTCTCTCACACACACACACACACACACACACACACACACACAATGTTTGTGTGCGCGTGTGTGCTTGAGTGCCCGTGTGTGTGTGCTTGTGTGCGTTCGTGTGTGCATGGGTTGTCATTTTCACTATCACAACTCCACAAAAATACCATGACAGTGGCAGACTCGTTCGACTTTCACCGACTCATCGGGAGGTGGAACCTCAACAGTCTGCCCAGGATGCATTTGCACGTGTGCGTACGATGTTATGCTCCCTGTACACAACTCCACAAAAGAAGGCATGCCAGACTGTTTCGGTGGACCTTCACTGACTCATCAGGAGGTTGCATTTGCATACGTGCATACATGCACACGTGTGTGCGTGTCCATGCTTGTGTGTGTTCATGAGCCTGCGTGGCCGCCTTGAAGCGGTTTTTCCCCTGGCAGCTGGCGGAAAGCTCCCAAATCCCCATCGGGCTACGGGATGTCAACCTGGGCCGTTGGCCCAGTCGATGGGGACTACGGGATGTCAACCTGGGCCGTTGGCCCAGTTGTACCGGCCAATTGAATCGATCTTAGCACGAACTTAAAATCTTAAGACTGTGCAACGCCATGGCCCAGCAGGACCACGGACAGCCTGGATCGTCGCGCAATTTTAAATTTTAAGATTGCGCGACTATCCAGGTCATTGGCCAGGTAGGACCACGGACGACCTGGAATGTGGCGCGATCTTAAAATATTAAGATATCGCAGGATGATCCGGGCCGTTGGCCCGGTAGGACCGCGGACGGCCCGGATGCCGGATTTCTCACATTAGAGATTCCTATAACTGCAGGGAAGTTCCAGGTGGACATGCCCTGCTAAGAGGGTGTGCCGATGCTGCATTCGTAGACCATCGCACAAAAGTGCCACCTCCATTCCCACCTTCTAACATGTCCTCTGCGGCTAAATGTCAACCTTCTTTCCGCAGCTGATTGAAGAAAGGCAAAAGCTGATATCTGGTAAATCGGTAAATTAACTTCTTCATCATGATTAGTTAGTTCAGTCCAATGAAGATTCTATAGAGCTCCCAGATAGACACACAATAGAACGGGATTGAAACGGTTTCACCCAGTTCGTAGGACAATCGCAGGACCCGGGGCTCGATCCCTAGTGTGCGCCTTGAACCCATGACCTGTCCCTAAACACGTGCGTCTAGGTGTCGTACATATAGCTAGGTCATGAGGACTTGAACCACAGTCTTAGTTTTCAGGAGTCTTAGGGTCAGTCTTAAGTCATAGCCCTAGCTGTAGCGAAGAGCCAGTCCCAAGTCGCCTAGGACTTTCTAGAACCGTCAGAGTTGGCTCTTCGGAGCTGTAGAGGTTAGTCAGTCGTAGCCTAGGAGATTCTAGATTGTCAATTTGACCTTTCACAGTTGTAGCAGTCAGTTATCCGTCGATGAGTCAGCAAAGTGTAGTCCAGTCCCAGTCGCAGTCCCAAGTCCACCTTGTCTAGTTAGCAAGTACCAGGTGGGGCTACACCTTCCTTGGGCCCGGGACTGAAGGTAGGCCAGACCACGATGAAACAGTATAAATAAACAGGCAGCCCCCGGCCATCCATTCATTCGCCTGCGAGCCATGCGGAAGCGCTGCTAGTGCGACTTGTGCATTGGAGGTCTGCAGGTTCCCGACGAAGAAGAGGGCAGCGGCCATAGCTGCTAGTAGAGGTGGAGGACGGGTTGCTGACGTCAACAGATAGGACATAGTAAGTGAGTGTGTACTGGAGATTCAGGGTAGATCCTAGTGTAAGTGTGTGCTGCGTGAGTGAGTGCAAGGTGTCTGATGGTGGATACAGTGAATGGGTGGGAATTCAGGCAGCGTTCAGCGGCCATAGCCACTAGATGTCACAAGTTGACTTGAGCTGAGTTCCTGGCCACAGGCCATATATCGAAGTTTCTGTGTGGGCGCTATGCGTCATCTCACGCTTGTTGCTGATTCTGCTTTGTGAGATTTCGTCAGCCATCGGCATGTGTGCATGCATGTTGAAAGTAAAGTTGAAGACGAGTCTGATTTCTGCAGGATTACGACACCCAGCACGCTGTGATTGGCAATGCTTCCGCGAGCAAAGGTTTTGCAGAACTTAGTTCCGCAGCCAGCCTCCCACTGGGAGGCCAACTCCCACTGGTGCTAACAACTCAACGAGGAGGATACCTGTGGGATAATGTTTCTTTTACTTTAGTTAACCAAGTGTCCAATGTCGGGATACTTGGGGCGGATGAACCCATTTGTCCAGGATCCCGAACATTCAGTTTGTGCCAACTGTCTTCTGGCCCGTGCTGGGTGTTGGGCTTGGGTTAGTGACCCCAGGCAAAAAAATCTGGAGGCATTTGGATTTTTGAAAAAACGAGGTAGCAACACCTGCACAGCAGCTACAGCAGCAGCACCTGTAGCAGCAGCTACTGCAGCAGCTGTTGCTACTTGTAAAGAGGGGGGGGGAATGGAAGAACAGCCTCACACATCATCTGAAACATGCACACACGCAGACACACTTGTCTGCTGAAGAAGATTCCAAGGTAAAGCTACGTCATTTTTTGTATGTACTCCTCTCAATGGGACAGGAGTTGTTGTGCTAACAGTGTACAACACACAGACGACGGATGGGAGGGGAGGGAGGGGAGGAGGGAAAAAAAAAGAACAGGAGGCAGAGGTGGTGGAGGAGACAGAGGAAGAGGACAAGGGGGGAAAGGAGGAGGAGAAAGAAGAAGACAATGAGGAGCACAAGGGCGGGAAAAAAAAAAAGAAATGGTTGTGGTCATCGTCATCAATTTCGGTTTTCTTTCTGGATCAGTGATTGATTGAGTAGTTGAGTGATTGATCAAAAAAAGGGCGAGCGGAGGGGAGGTGGGCAGAGAGGAGGCAGGCGGGGGAGGGAGGACCCGATCGGAGGTGCGGGGAGGCAGGCGAAGGGAAGTGGGGACGTGAGGGAGGGAGCCGATTAGCTCAGTGGGTAGAACACCGGTTGGAAATCCACATTGTGGTCTGAGGTTGCAGGTTCAAAACTCTGCAGCCTTGCACATGGACACCGGCAGGCGCTGAGCAACGCATGGCTATGCGCACAACCCCCCTGGGTTGGCACATAGTAAGGACTACAGACACTGCCTGTACCACCCAAGGGGTTCACAGTCCATGGTTGTTGTATGTTAGGGTCTAGGTTATGACAGGTTTGCCTGATGTTCTGGTTCATCGGAACAGGTTGTTCACGATGGTTGCACACTTGTCCTCTGGTCTAGTGCAGCGCATAAACAGACTACCGTCTTCACCAGAACAGAACACCAGATCACTATAGCCGTATTTGGTGCTATTCTCAGTCCACATACAGCTATAATGACCGGGCGTTCTATTCGGGTAAAGATGGTAGTTGTCATGGTAGCTCAGTGGGTTTGAGCTAGGGGCTGTACGGATGACGTTGAAGGTTCGAATCTGATCAGGCAGGGCAGATCATGCTTGCACAGAGATATATGGGATGCGGCCACGGACATTGTGGAGGGATAGATCACGCAAGTCGGTTACCTTAGGGTTCTGCTTTGGGGGGCAGGGCCGCAAGGTGCGATGATTAGGGGGGTTCCATTAGTAGGGGGATTAGGTAGGAGAGTCCCGAGGTAGGGCCCCCCTGGGGATAAAACCGAATAAGCCCAGTCGAGGATAGAGGTAAGAGGAACAGTTGTGGAGGCTCGTACATACCGACGACTGAGACCAGGGTTGTCCGGGAGGGGGACTGACTCTAGGGGGGATCTTGCAGTAGGGGCTCTCTCAGGGATAGAAAATGGTGGGATAGCCTGCTTTCCGCGTTAACAACTAGCATACATCCAACAACAATCAGAATAACAATGGCAGAACTACAATAACACGACTAGAGAGTCTACCGGAATGTCTCTAGGTAGAGGGGCAGATAGGGCGCCGTACATTTACTGATAATAGGCCAGAACCTCTAGGTCCCAATTACAACAACAGTGGTACAACGACTTAGCGGGTATAGGAATGGGTCCACCTATGGCACTCGTTGAAGAACGTCTATACCTCCCGCCCGAAGTACCCCTGCAACAGGGCTTGCCGGACTATGCTTCAATCAGGGCTGAGTGAGGTGAGCGGGGTCCTGCTTAGCCCTGGTGCCTGCAACCACAGTCTCGTCAGGTCACCCCAGTCGAGATGACTGGAGCGTGACAATCCTCAGTGGTAGACAATGAGGTAGGATCGTGGGGTAGGGGTGCACCAGGGAGGAATAATGGAAGTGGTAGGTTGGGAGGGAGTCTCATAAGACTCCGACAGCAGAGCCTCTCGAGAACTCACGAGTTGTTGTAGTTCAGAATCTACAACAGATTCGCTTCTTGCTTCAAAAGTATCCTTTAAGCATATTTTGTACTAATTTTGATGAAGTCGATTAGTTTGCTTGAAGTAAAATATGTATTCCGTAATCTGGCAAAATTAATTCAATTCTAAAAATAAATAGTCTGTAAACGTGATCCTATGGGCGCTCTTGTGTTTTCTTAAATTTACTTCGGCCTCTCACTCAACTCACTCACTCGAAGACTGGAACTACGAAGCAAGTAGAATGGAGAGCCATATATACTACTACTCAATAGATATGCAGCATAAGGAGCTATGGCGGAACTGGTATATGCTACAGACTTAAAAATAAATTAGAATTGAACCTTTTCAAGAAAACTAACAAGTACCACTTTCTCTGATGGAGACTGATCGTTATTAGTGTGTGCAACGTGCGTCTGCAAATTCCGTGCTTTTCTTTTGCCAATGTATATTATATATGGTCAGGTGTATTTTGGGATCCCGTAGAAACTGCATCT